CCTTCTTCTTTTCTTCTTTCTCCTCCTCCTCCTCCTCTAGTCTAGTCTAGTCTAGTCTAGTCTAGTCTAGTCTAGTCTAGTCTAGTCTAGTCTAGTCTAGTCCAATATCTATTCTGTTCTGTTCTATTCTATTACAATATCTATACTGTTCTGTTCTGTTCTGTTCTGTTCTAGTCTAGTCTATTCCAATATCTATTCTGTTCTGTTCTATTCTATTACAATATCTGTTCTGTTCTGTTCTGTTCTGTTCTGTTCTGTTCTGTTCTAGTCTAGTCTAGTCTAGTCTAGTCTAGTCTAGTCTAGTCTAGTCTAGTCTAGTCTAGTCTAGTCCAATATCTATTCTGTTCTGTTCTATTCTATTCCAATATCTATTCTGTTCTATTCTATTCTGTTCTGTTCTGTTCTGTTCTGTTCTGTTCTGTTCTGTTCTATTCTATTCTATTCTATTCTATTCTATTCTATTCTATTCTATTCATTCGCCACCACGGTTCTAATGCCTCCATCTAATTCTGAACAGTGGGGATGCATCAACCAAGCTCCTTCGAGACGATGGGAACCTTGTCTAAGATTCCTCTAAGGCAGACCTGAGCATTTTACGTGCCCCCCCCTCCCTCAGGCCACATCTGGCCCTTTGGCTGTCCCTATCTGGCCCGGGTGAAGTCAATTGGAAATTAGAAATTGACTGCAAATAAGACGTAATGTGTATTCTTACCAATAGCAGCTAAGCCAAATCGTATAATTTACTGCTTTTAATAAAGTACTAAAACTAATACTGAGAAGAATTAAGTTCGGTCTATTGCTTTTTTTTTTTTTTAATTTGATTTATATGCCGCCCTTTTCCGGAGACTCAGGGCGGTTTACAATGCGTTAAGCAATAGCCTTCATCCTTTTTGTATATATTTATACAAAGTCAGCTTATTGCCCCCACAAACTGGGTCCACATTTCACCTACCTTAGAAAGGATGGAAGGCTGAGTCAACCTTGAGCCTTGGAGAGATTCGAACCAGCAGAAATTGCAGGCAGCTGTGTTAATGACAGGGTGCACTAAACCACTGTACTATCAAGGCTCTTGCTTTCAGCCCTTCACAACTGTTCCAGCTTCTCATGTGACCCCTTGGGGAAATTAATGGCCCACCCCTGCTCGAAGGGGACTCAGGTTGAGAAAGGTGAAGTTAGATAATGGACATATTCTGAAAACGGCTTGTTTTTCTCTGCCTAAAATGCAGCTTCATACATTAGATCATCAATTAGGCATGGTTCACGAGCTGCTGTGGTGGGAGGCATTTATTTCATTCATTTAGCATTGTGTTTTTCCAGTTCAGGAACCGTCCATTTCAAGCAAGCCGACGCTAAAAAGTTTGAAATGAGCATCCATTAAAAATATAATCCATCCTCGTGTTATGCTTGTCAGTCTCTCCTCTGCGCCGTTATTTAAGATCCTCATTTTTTTTACATACAATTAAGGCTCCTACTGATTAATACTGGAGGCCGTGCGGGTCTGGATGGGGAGAAACAGGCTTCGACTCAACCCTTCCAAGACCGAGTGGCTGTGGCTGCCGGCGTCCCGGTATAGCCAGCTGACGCCATCGCTGGTTATTGGGGGCGAATCATTGGCCCCCACGGAGAGGGCCCGCAACTTGGGTGTCCTCCTGGATGCGCGGCTGTCTTTAGAAGGGCATATGACAGCCGTGGCCAGGGGGGCTTTTTGTCAGGTTCGCCTGATACGCCAGTTGCGCCCCTTTCTGGACCGGGACTCCCTACGCACGGTCACTCAAGCACTCGTCACTTCTCGTCTGGACTATTGTAACGCTCTCTACATGGGGCTCCCCTTGGGGTACACCCGGAGGCTCCAACTGGTGCAGAATGCGGCTGCGCGGGGGATTATGGGAGCGACGGGGCGCTCCCATGTGACTCCTCTCCTGCGCGAGCTGCATTGGCTTCCGGTGGACTTCCGGGTGCGCTTCAAGGTGTTGGTGATCACCTTTAAAGCGCTCCATGGCTTAGGGCCAGGGTACTTACGGGACCGCCTTCTGCCACCAATAGCCTCCCACCGGCCGGTTCGCTCCCACAGAGAGGGCCTCCTCAGGGTGCCGTCGGCCAGACAGTGCCGGCTGGCGACCCCCAGGAGGAGAGCCTTCTCTGTGGTGGCACCTACCCTATGGAACAATCTACCCCCAGAGATACGAGTGATCTCCGACCTTCGGATTTTTCGCCGGGCCCTAAAAACTTATTTTTTCCAGTTAGCCGGTCTGTCTTGATTTTAGGGTTAGTTTTAAAATTTTAATATTGATTTTAAATTGACAAGTTTTAAATTATGGGCCAAATTTATAAATTATTTTAACTTTATTTTTTAACTGTGATGTTTTGTATAGATGTTTTTATCTTGGCTGTTCACCGCCCTGAGTCCGAAAGGAGAAGGGCGGTATAGAAATTTGAATAAAGTAAAGTAAAGTAAGTAATCAGGACAGGGCTGTGTTCATAGGCATTGGGGGAATATTCCATGACTTTAAAGCAGCCAGATCAAGGGTTGAGGTATCTTTTTTAGCTCTGTGTATACAAGAGCAGGTGAGAGAATGGGAGGGAAGGACGCTATTGGTACTAAGAGGGAAAGCAATTTGAAATGGAGACCAACTTTCATGAAAATAAGTCCTCTTCATTCAGGGAAGAAAATGCAGAGAAGAAGAGAGGAGAGGAGAGGAGAGGAGAGGAGAGGAGAGGAGAGATTACAGAATGGAAGGGGGGGAGAGGAGAGGATAGAGGAAAGGGAGGAGAGGAGAGGAGAGGAGGAGAGGAGAGGAGAGGAGAGGAGGAGAGGAGAGGAGAGGAGAGGAGAGGAGAAGAGAAGAGAAGAGAAGAGAAGAGAAGAGAAGAGAAGAGAAGAGAAGAAGAGGAGAGAACAGAAGAGAAGATTACAGAATGGGAGGGGAGGGGAGGGGAGGAGAGGAGAGGAGATTACAGAATGGAAGGGGAGGAGAGGAGGAGAGGAGAGAAGATTACAGAATGGAAGGGGAGGAGAGGAGAGAGGAGAGAGGGAAGGGAGGGGAGGGGAGAAGAGGAGAGGAGAAGAGGAGAGGAGAGAAGATTACAGAATGGAAGGGGAGGAGAGAGGATAGAGGGAAGGGAGGAAGGAGAGGAGAGGAGGAGAGGGGAGAAGATTACAGAATGGAAGGGGAGGAGAGGAGAGGAGGAGAGGAGAGAAGATTACAGAATGGAAGGGGAGGAGAGAGGAGAGAGGGAAGGGAGGAGAGGAGAGAAGAGAAGATTACAGAATGGAAGGGGAGGAGAGGAGAGAGGGAAGAGAGGAGAGGAGGAGAGGAGAGAAGATTACAGAATGGAAGCAGAGGAGAAGAGAGAGGAGAGAGGGAAGGGAGGAGGAGAGGAGAGGAGAGGAGAGAAAAGAGAAGAGAAGAGAGAGAAGAGAAGAGAAGAGAAGAGAAGAGAAGAGAAGAGAAGAGAAGATTACAGAACGGAAGGTGAGGGGAGGAGAGGAGAGGAGAGAGGGAAGGGAGGAGAGGAGAGGAGGAGAGGAGAGGAGAGGAGAGAAGAGAAGATTACAGAATGGAAGGTGAGGGGAAGAGAGGAGAGGAGAGCAGAGATGGAAGAGAGGAGAGGAGAGGAGAGGAGAGGAAAGATGAGGAAAGATGAGAAGGATAATAGCAAAACAGCTCTATACTCCATGGGTAAATATCCATAGACATAAGACAGTGTTATGGGAATTAGGTTTTCACCAGAGTGATGGCATGGGGGGAAGAAACTGCCTTTGGGTCTAGTTGTTTCGGCATGCAGTGCTCTATAGTGGCATCCCGAGGGGAGGAGTTGAAACAGTTTATGCCCCTGATGTGAGGGGTTTACTTTCTCAGCCCTCTTTCTGACCAGTGTATAGGTCAGAGATTGGCAACCTGTGGCTCTGGAGCCGCATGTGGCTCTTTCATCCCTCTGCTGCGGCTCCCTGTCGCCGATCAGCTCCACGATTGATAGAGCTTTCTGTTAGGACAGGTAGAGGAAAAAGGACGCTGTGCTAGGAAGAGACTCTATGGTGGGGGAAGCGGACTTCCAGTCAGCAGAGGAAAAAGGATGCCGCGCTAAGAGGAGACTCTATGGTGGGGGAACTGGACTTCTGGTCGGCTCCAGAATTGAACAGGGGCTTCCGGTTAGGACCTTTGTGGTTCTTTGAGTGTTTTAAGGTTGCCAACCCCTGATATAGGTCCTTGAAGGAAGGCAGGCAGGCAGTGGGGCGCCTTTATTTCTCACTCTCCCCACCCTGCACAGTTCCCTATGATTCCAGCACAAGGACCTTTGCTAAATGATCATCAGAAAATCCATCCATGCCTTCATGGCCAAGACAGAATAGATTCTAAAGTCAGCATTCATATACAGGGATCTTACTCCTTCCTGGCTGTTGCTAAGACTGTACTCAGGGAAGAGTGGTGGTTAGGCATTTGGAGAGCTGTCATCCCAAATGATTTGGAGATGATATAAATACAGGTAGTCCTCGACTTAGAACCATTCATTTAGTGACCATTGAAAAAAATAGACCTAGGAACGTTTTTTGTGCTTACGATTGTTGCAGCCTCCCCATGGTCACATGACCAAAATTCAGACACTTGGCAACTGGCATGTATTTATGACAGTTGCATTCTTCCAGGGTTATGGGATCACCTTTTGTCAACCATCCCAGCCCGCTTCTGACAAGCAAAGTCAGCGTGGGAAGCCAGATTTGCTTAATGACCAAATGCAACACAATGCAACTCAACCCAACCCAACCCAACCCAATAGAACGCAACAGAACTCAACGGAACTCAACTCAGCTCAACAACTCAACAACTCAACTCAACTCAACTCAACCTAACAACTGCTGTGATTCACTTCACTGTGGCAAGAAAAGTAAAATGGGACAAATCTTACTTAACAACTGTCTTGCTTAGCAATGGAAATGTTGGGCTCAACTGTGGTCGTAAATCGATGACTACCCGTAGTATAAAATGATTTTTGCATCCTACCTGTCCACCTGGACTTCGACATCTCTCATTCCCATCTTGGCTTCAGCATTGCCATTGAGTTCCTTGCTGTCACCCTTCAGAAGATCCAGAACAGGTTCAATCTCCTTGAGCAGTTCACTGTTCTCAACACTGCCATTCAGGCAATGGTCAGGAATATCCTGGTTTCCTTTCAGAGTGTCCTTGGCCACATTGCTGGCTACCATGCCGTTGATGTGTACCAGATTTTCTTCCCCTTGCCCATTCTCCCGCACACACCGGGAGCTGACGGAGCCCCCCATGGTGTGTTCTTCCCCCTGTTGCTTGTCTTTGGTGAGGATGCTCGGAGCAGATGCCTGATCACCTACGGTTGGCGTCCCACACAGAGGTCTGGTGACTCGGATGGTCTTTGGCGTCCCGTCTCCAGCAAAGGTTGTCTCTAGGTGAGTGGTGAAGCCCTCTGGGCCTCTTAAGATGAGAACAACGTAAGTTTCTGAAGCGATGCTTCTAAGGACTCCTAAGGCCGCGTCATAGTTCATATCAACCAGGGGCTTCCCATTGACCGCTAGGATAATATCTCCCGTCTGAATAAGGCCACTTTGTTCTGCTGCCCCTCCTCGGATCAAGTCAGAGATGATCACAGGTGGCTTGTTGACTCGTTCCTTCACCAGGAACCCAAGGCCACCCACTTTGCGTTTGAAGAGCTTCACCGAGATTACATTCGGTTGAATCTGTTGGACACTGAATACATTCTCTTCCATTGTAGTCCTGAAATCGTCCAGCCCTCGAGAACAGGATCTCAACAGTTATAGAGATGGACTCTCCGTTAGTCCACGGCTGAGCCACAAACCTCTAATGAGCAAGAGAGACAGAGTAGAAGGTTTTATATCTGTTTGCAAGCTGGGAAAAGCCGACCTTCTTTGGGTGAGCTTCACCTCTTGATAAAAGATAAAATTTGTAGGTCATGCAGCCATCTCTGCAGATCTGGTCTAGCTCGTTTTCATTCCCTAGAAGGCAACAAAGCCATCCATCCTACATGAAATGAATGGAAAACTCCATTGGACATCTTCTGGTTCAACAGATGGCTGGAGAAGACGGCGCTTGCCAAGCATTCTTCGGTATCTTGGGACATGGGATTCACTTTACATCTTCTTTACCTACAGAGAGAGGGTGGGAGGAAGAGACAGAGAAATAAAAAAAAAATATCAGACTGGCTTAGACATTCGAGATGGGCAAAATAGACTAAAACCAAGAAAATCTAACACGGCAGAGCAGAATCTGTTGTGAAATTGTTGAAAGTCACTGTTGTGGCCCACCAGCGGCCAGCAGAGCTGGCAGCAGAAGCAGACAGTGAGGAGGTTGGGGAGGAACGTGGGCCAGTCCTGGAATCTGGGGAAGGCTCAGATGAGGGCTCTGAGTGGGAGGCAGAGAGGGGGCCAAGGTCATTTGGTAGTTCTTTGCTGCCTCCGGAGTCTGACATCAGCGAGGCAGAAGAACAGCGGGAGCCTGTTCCCAGTGTGCGCATGCACAGAGCTGCCAGAAGACAGGAACAATTAAGAAAACAGGGTCGACTTGGGAGTAAGGCTTGGAGATGATTGGCCCCTCCCATAAGACATAAAAGAGGAGCGAGCGGGACGTGAGCTTTTGCAGGAAGCAATTAGTTCATCTGGTCAGTAAAAGCTCTGTTTGACTCTGTGCTAAGTTTGTCCTTGCCCTGCGTGTGGCATTTAGTTCTCTGGCAGCATTCCAAGGGAGATAAGGTGGGTGTTCGTAAACATTCCCTTGAAAGACTGTTTGAGAAGCCTTTCGGACTGGGAATGACAATAATTCACAGCCGTTTGAATTAAAGAGGTTTGCCAGGAGTAAGTTTGTGCTGCATTCTTTCCAAGGAAGGCTACGTCAGAACAGTCACAAGTTTGTGGCGAAGTATATGAAGACCTCATCCCCGTGCGGTCTGTCTCTTAATCCTAATTTTTTGCAGCGTTTAACATTTTTAATTTGCATAATTTTAATATTCAAATTAATTTTTTTCTATTTCTGTAAGCCTCCCAGAGTCGCCTTCTAAGAAAGATGGGCAGCTTAAAATTTTTAATAAACAAACAAATAAAAAAAAAAAACAACCCAGAGGACTTTGAGCTCCAGCATAAGAGACAAATATTCCATCATTGATTGCATCTCAGCCAGGTTTTATTTAAGCATCACATGGAACAGATTCAATCACTTGTTATTTTTCATTTGAATAACATTGCCTATCATGGGTTGTTTTTTTTAAAAAAAATATGTTTGAGGTCACTTCTAAGCTTCCGAGGTCAGTTTTGTATGCTCAGTGGTGGGTATCAATAATTGTAATAAATAATAATTAGAACGAACCTTGGAAAAATAACAGGGGGATTGCAATGCAAAAATCTTGTGAGCTAATTAGCAGGTACCGTATAAACTAACAATGGGAAATCTGGGCCAACATAATGTTTTACTGAACAGGAGATGAGGTTATTAATTTTCACATTTAAAAGAAACGTACGAGATTTGAGGCATGATTTGCTTTGGGGAAAAATAACAGGTTGCTACACGGTAGAGGATTAGATTAAAAGAAAGTTTTCTATTGATAAAAGCAGCCATGATTAAATCAGGCTTGTTAAGGATATTGTTGTTGTGTTACCAACCAGCAGAGTGTAGAGCACAGAGAAACGTTGCTGAGAGCAATGAATAAGAGATGTGCAAACTGGTTTATCAAAAGCTTACTTTATAGTAGAAAAACAGTCTCATAGTCTTTAAACAAATTCCAAGTCTTTGCCAGTTAAATCAGTCCAGTAGTTACAGAATCTTCTTACCCAACAAACAGTAGTTTGGTTAGAATAACAAACTCACTCTGGTTCACAAACCACGATGGTAGCAGATCCATCCAACGATGGTAGCACAATGATAGCAACTCCACACACTATGGTAGCATATCATCAACTGAATACGTTACAGTACCTTTCTTAAATACTCTCACAACCAGTCATTACCTAATTACAGCATGACTCAGCATTACAATGAATCAAGAAAATCAAGAAAACCTTTAAAGTAACATAATACATTTACAGATTAAAGTTACAGTACACATATATTGCCTGGACAACTTGTTAGGCTCAAACCATATCCTAACATTCTCCCCTTTGGACAGGTCAATATATGCAGTCTAGATTCTTAATCCATAGCTTTCACAACACGTTTTATGTTTTATAGCACCTTGCGCTTTGGTAAAATTATCAGCTATATTGTCTTCCAATATACAATAGTCCAACTTAATCACGTTGCTTTGGATACACTGACAAACATTCAGATACCGAATGTCAGTATACTTAGATCTAGTTTTAACTGCTAAATTTGTTGCCATTTTTATAGCAGCTTGGTTGTCCTCATGTATTACAATGGGATAATCCAGCTTTAAACCAATATCCAACATTTGTTGTTTGTAATAAATTAAGTCGGTACGAATTAGTGACAAACATGAGAATTCTGCCTCCATAGTCGATAGAAAGACAGAAAGGTAGAATATGGAATAATGGAGTTGGTAGGGACCTTGGTGGTCTTACACTCAGAGGTGGGCTGATGGGGGTTCGTAGGGGTTCGGGAGAACCTCTAGCTAAGATTCTGTGCAGTTCGGAGAACCCCCAAATCCCACTCCTGGCTGGCCTCGCCCACCCCTCCCAAGAGTCCCCACACGGCCCATTTTGGATGCAGGTAAGTGCAGGGCGCACGACGGAGGCTCAGGGAGGGTGAAAAACGGCCCTATTTCCAGCCTCCAGAAGGCCTCTGGAACCTAGGGAGGGCAAAAATGCCCCCCTGCCATGGTGCAGGAGGCCAACTAGGCCATGCCCACCATGGCCACATCCACCCAGCAACCAGACAGAGAACCCCTTGCTAAATTTTTTGAGGCCCACCCCTACTTCTACTCCAATCCCCTCCTCAAGCAGGAGACCCTATACTAGTGATGGCTAACCTTTTTGCTGCCGTATACGGTATAGGTCGCACCCTCGTGTGCCCACACCCCTAATTCAATGCCCCCCCAGTGCCCACCGTGCATGCATGCATGACCCCCCCTGCATGTTCGCGCAACCCCACTGAGCTCCCCTGCTTTTGGCACGTGACAGCAAAAAGGTTACCGGTGGGCTCGGTAGGCTCGTTTTTCGCCCTCCCCAGGCTCCAGAGGCTTTCTTGGAGCCTGGGGAGGGTGAAAACAGCCTTCCCCACCCCCCGGAGGCCCTCTGGAGGCTGGAAACAGCCCATTTCCCGACTTCCGGTGGGCCCGGAAGGCCTAAACATCAGCTGGCCAGCGCACACATGCGTGCTGGAGCTGAACTAGGGCAATGCTTGCGTGCCCACAGATATGACTCCCCGTGCCACCTGTGGTATGCATGCCACAGGTTTGCCATCACGGCCCTATACTATGCCAGACAAATGGCCGTCTAACCTCTTCTTGAATACCAGTGATGGAGCATCCACAACTTCTGGAGGCAAGTTGTTCCACTGATTAATTCGTCTCACTGTCAGGATATTTCTCCTTAAAATTCTAGGTTGGATCTCTCTTTGATAATCTTCCACCCATTATCTTTTGTCCTGGATGATAGATTCCAATCTCTTACTCTATTTGTTGGTACGGCCCCTTGCTGAAGGCAGAAAGCAGCCAATAAGCAGCTAATTTGCTGAGATGAAAGTCAATATATGCAGCTTTTTAAGATCCTCCGAGGCAAAAGGGGTGAAGATGTCAAATTATACGGAGCTGCCAATCGGTATTGTCAACGTATTTTGGAAGAGAAAAGACTTTTGTGAAAGTAAAAGAAGGATATGATGGAGCCACTGTTCTCGAACAAGTGGGAAAGGGATTATTAGGGTGCTGTCCAGTGGCTGAATGAGAACAAGAAAAGGAAATAATAGTAGAGAATATACATAGCTCAGGATTGAATTGTTGGAGTTCTTGATATTCTCTGAGCTTGGTTGTTTTCCTGCAGATATTTTGTTAGTAGGCTAGGCAACAACTAGCACTGATAATGTTACCTAGTTGGGTAATGAAATGTCTGCAAGAAAACAACCAGGCTCAGAGAGCACCAAGGATCCTGCAGGTCTCCTCCTCTTGCAAACCTCACTCCTTTCTTGCACTGATAATGTTACCTAGTTGGGTAATGAAACATCTGCAAGAAAACAAAAAAGCTGAGGGTGGACCAAGGACCCCTCGTTTCAACCCTGAGCTAGAGATATTCTCCTTTTCTAGCCAACGGCATCAGTCCATGGAACCTGTTGGTGAAACATCAGCCTGTCAATGACCAAGCTCGGAGGACCACCAAGAAGCCATCACAAAAACAGCTCTTGAACGGGATCTTTCTATTGACAACATGGATTTAATTAGGCACCTCTCAAAAAAGCAAGAACATTTTTTTGGGGGGGAAGAGAGAAACATGGGTTGGGGTTGGATGTATTCTCTCTACCATGAAGAAATTGTTGGAGCTCATCCCATCCACCTGTTCCCATGGAAGTTTCTTTCTTTTCCATGTCAATGGAGACACACACACACATACACACACACACACACACACAGACAGAGAGACAGAAACAGCGAGAGAGAGAAAGAGACAGAGAGACAGAGAGGGAGAGACAGAGAGGGAGACAGACAGACACACACACACACACACACACACACACACACACACACACAGAGAAAGAGACAGAGAGAGACAGAGTCACAGAGAGACAGGCAGAGAGACAGAGACAGTGAGAGAGAGAAAGAGACAGAGAGATAGAAAGAGACACACACAGAGAGAAAGAGACAGAGTGAGACAGAGAGACAGAGTGAGACAGAGAGAGACACACAGAGAGAGAGAGACAGAGAAAGAGACAGAGAGAGACAGAGACACAGAGAGACACACACAGAAAGAAAGAGAAAGACAGAGAGAGACACACAGAGACACACAGAGAGACAGACAGACACAGAGAGACAGAGAGAGACACACAGACAGACACATAGACAGAGAGACACAGAGAGACACACACTGAAAGAAAGAGAAAGACAGAGAGAGAGAGAGAGAGAGAGAGAGAGAGAGAGAGAGAGAGAGAGAATAACTGCTCTCCTTCAAGGGAGTGTGTTTTTACCTATTCCCTAACAATAGCTTCAGGCATA